TATACAAAGATATTAATCAATCACTCGATAAACATAGAGTATTTAGATTTCGTTGTTTATATGCCCTTGAAAAATTTATGTTCAAATCCCTTAGTTATAATCCACAAAATAAAACTTTAAGGTTAAAGAATTATTTAAATATATTTCCATATAACTTTAAATCCACTACATGGCCCAATCCATTTGTTAAGCATAATTTGCAGTCGTCATCGAGTCTAAGTTCGAATTTTCTCGAATTATTCATAATGTTGACATGTTTCTATTTCATGCACTCGTATCAATTAATTATGTTCAACTTATATAAAAAATTATACTGTAATATATCAAACGTATCTGGTTCTTTGTTCTAGTTATGAACTGAACCGGAATTATCTCTATCCTTTATAGTCACACATATTGCCATCAACACATCTTCAGTTCAGAAGTTAAATAAATTATTTTATGAAGTTAGAAATTATTTATCTTATTTATCTTTGTCCAAGACATGCACTTCATTTGTAATTTATTCTTTATTTAAAAAAAAAAACTGCTTCAAATATGTATGAATACAAAAGTATTCTCACCATATAAGAATCACACTTTTCGATTTTAAATGTTTCTCGACTGATTTTACAGAATTTCAAATGAACAAATTCATTTAAATATTTTCTAATACAATGTCCCTGATGTATGTCACAATGGAACACCTGCACATGTATTGTATAAAAAGAATTTACAAAGATTAGATATCTTTATAATGGAGGTACGTGTATGATAAACTGTTTTGATCGGAAGGGGAAATGCATATTTAAAATACTACGGCTAATGTAGACAAGATCAGATTTCTCTTTCATCCAAAAATAAAGTATGCTCAGTTCTTCTTGTATGTGTCCTTAAAGCTGGTAAACTAATCAAAATATGAAAATCTGCAAGTTTTTGTACATGTATTCAGATTGGAAACTTTAATCATTAGTTGCTTACCTGTCCGTGTAAGAGAAATAATTACAGTCTCTAGACTTGATGAGGTGTGATTACGGTAATTGTAAAATGTGGTTTCCAAGACTTCACCATATTTATTCATTAGAGTTAGTGATTCATGTTCACTATTGTTTCCTCAGAAGGAGATGATCCAGGAATTCTTCCGGGGGGGGGGGGGTCCATGCCCCCCCCCAAAAAAATCCAACTGAGAAATTTACCCAAAACTTAAAAATAAATAGATAAATTTTAAAAAACGCAAACTTGTCCATCCCCCCCCCCCCCCCCGAGAAAAACTACAATTTGAAAACTCAAAAAAATAAATAAATAAATAAAAAATAAAAATAAAAAAATATGAGTGGACTGGACTGGATCGGTGCATGAATTGCTAAACATTGTCCATCGTATATATAAAGAACTGCATAAATTTTACACTTAGTCTAATCAGGGACTATATATAGAAATATCTATTTGAACATTGTTAATGCCCCCCCCCCTCCCCCCTCTCCATTTACCATGTTTATTTCTAGTAAAAAAAAAATTGTCTGATTAACCTATTCTACTCAAATTTACTCAAGTAATAAACTTTTTTTTCTGTGTAAAATTTCATTCCGAGTCATCACCGGAACGAATTACTACTTAATCGTAACTGTTGTGGCGTGATGCTTGATTGTGAACCTAATAACATAGAAATACTTATTGGATTATACCTTCGATGTCATTCTGTGATTTATTTTAGTATGTAAATACCCCTCATGGTAAGTATAGAGTAAGAAACGTTATATAAAGGTGTAAATGACAAGTTCAAAATATTTACATGATAAACAAATCAGAGGTCATTCGAGTCACGTATAAAATTATTAAGTCATGCATGTGATATCAGTCAAGTGCAGATATTTCACAAAGGTTTGGTTGTGCATATATTTTAAACCTTTCACTGTAGTGTTTGTGAGCGTGATACGTGATACAGCTGTGATACCAACACGTAAAAGAAGATAGGCTAAGTGAGACTCTTGTAAATTCACATACACACACAAAAGATGTAAAGGTTGCTCCACACCTCTTCAAATTAAGGCTTTGCCATACTACAGCATGTACAAAGCTTAAAAAACTTGCATCAACGTACAGAAAGATTAACATACTCGCTGGCATATGCTGAAGGCTTGTGCCATGCACCATAATCATGATAATTGCACTGAAGTAAAAAAAATTTAAAATGGTCATTAAATCAACCATATTAGCACCAAAGTGTGCATTCAATTTTCCCTTGGCTCTGTTCATTGGAAAGATTTCGACATTATATCTTTTAAAGGAAAGGTTTGTTTTGTTTGTATGTTGTTTAACGTCCCTCTCGAGAATTTTTCACTCATATGGAGACGCCACTACTTGCCGGTGGAGAGCTGCAAATTTTGTCCTATACTCGGCATTTATGGCCATTGAGCAGTGAGGGATCTTTTTTGTGCCAGCACCTACTGCGACATGGGACCTCGGTTTATACGGTCTCATCCGAAGGACCGGTCTCCATGTCCCACAGTGGGATTCGAACCCGCGACATAAGAATCAACTCCTTACTCCGCGACTCTAGAGCAGACGCTCTAACCACTGCGCCACGCGGGCGACTTTAAAGGAAAGGAATTGTATAGTTTGATATGTGCACACCCTAGATTTTGGAAATGTTAATGCTCTACTTTTATTGTTTTAATTACTTTCATTTTCAAATGTTTATTTTTTGCGAATGTGTGCATTTGGCCGGAAAACAATCTGACATTCCACCTTGAGATGTTATTTAAGAGTTGTTCCATCCTTAAATGTAAAGCAAGGATTTAAAACAGTGTGAGAAAAGGTTAACATTGTCGCCAATGGGAAATGTATTGGTGGACTGTATACCCCATATATATTGAGTACGTCTATTGGTAAGCATGCTAAGAGAAATTCTACTTGTTAAAAAAATTGTACTTTCAGGCTGAGTTGAAGTTTGTAATTTACAAAATTTGAATGAGGCAGATTTGGTTCAAACTATATACATGTATTTTTAATCTCACGGCTTTTTACATAGCATGATCATAACTTCCTTTGTGCAAATCAGATTAGAAGGATTCATGATCCTGAGCTAATATAGCTTGTGTCTTTCTTACTTTATAAAAGATACATAACTAATATACATGTATATCACTTGGAATTGTACTTAGGTCAACTTGAATGATTTTGTCACTTTTGAACTAAAAGTCTAAGTAAGTAAGTCTAATATAGAAGCCATTTGAAATCTTTATCCTTGGATGTTTCAATGCAAGCTGACAGACATTGAAATAGTCTTTGTTGATCAATGATGATTTAACCTAAGTTAACAATCTCATTTCATTTTGTGTCATCACATGATAAAGAAAGTTATGATTTTATTAAATTCAAATTGAACAAACTTAGGCTGAAAAAAACAACAACATGTATTTCCCATAACCCAGCTGACCTAATTTTACCCACCGACTCTACTACTTTTTATTCCAAATCGAGATTTTGAATCATACTTTTGTTCATAGTAAAGTTTTCTCATAGTGCAGTCCATAAAATGCATGTCTCGTACACTGTAAAAACCTGTTTATCCAAGAGTCTTAAAGAGTACTCCTACTTATATATATATATATATATATATATATATATATATATATATATATATATATATATATATATATATGTTTGTTTGTTTGTTTATTCATATACATGTATGTTTATGTACATGTATATGATAGAAAAACAATGTACAGAATAATTAATTGATGCTTTCAAAATAAAAAGTGTTGCTTGTGTGACGCAGTTGTTAGAGTGTTTGCTCTAGAGTCACGAAGTAAGGAGTTGATCCTTAGATTGCAGGTTCGAATCCCACTGTGGGACGTGAAGACCGGTCCTTCGGATGAGACCATATAAACAGAGGTCCTATGTCGCAGTAGGTGCTGGCATGAAAAAGATCCCTCACTGAGAGCGGAGTATAGGTCTATTAATTTGCAGCCCTCCACCGACAAGTAGTGGCATCTCCATATGAGTGAAAATTTCTCGAAAGGGAATTAAACAACAAACAAACAAGTAAACAAAATTAACAGTAAAGTAAAAAAAAAAGTTATTCCCTACTTACCTAGCCTAATTTTTTTTAGCATATCTCACCAGAAACACATAATTTTTTTCATTTGGCCTAATTAAGTTAAATTACTATAGAATTGTGCATTGAATCATTTGATTCTTAATAAGAAACTACTAAAAATTGTTAAAATGATAGTGTAGATAAGTTCTATAAAAATGAATGTGGCACTCTCATACATGTATTAATTTCAAACTTTAAAAATTCTAAAACTAATCAAATTAATAATGTAAAGCATTGTAAAGTTTGTATTCAGTCTCTATTTGGCATCTACAGCAACATCAGGGGATTCTCCAAGATCCTAACCCAGATCTAGATGACTTAATTAAGGCACATGCAGATCTCATGACTCCATATTTGGTTATTTTTTGACATGGTCGGTTTCCCAAATCAGGGTCTCCAGATATGGAAAATGGCACAGGTTTCTGGTACAGGTTTTTCAGAATCCATGACTTCATGTAGGGAACCTAGCACAACTTTCTGTGAAGGGTTTATTTGTAAAACTGTGTTATGTTATATTTCAGTCATTATCCCATGCCTGTTCTTGCCTTGACCACTTTTTCGCATGGCTTTCTATACATATTTTACATATATAGGAGGAGAAATGCTAGTCTGTTACAGGTTTATGGAAGCTAAATTTATGGAAGCTAAATTTGTGCCTGTGTTTAAACCACCCAGACAGTTTCATATGGGAGTAACCCTCCCCCCCCCCCCCCCCCCCTTATGAACATACAGCTAATTCTCATACCTCCTGTTGTTTACAGTTACATGTATGTAGCGAATAAATTCAATTAATGTGTCAATTTATATTATTTATTAATTCAAAGCTAAGTTGAATATATTTTTACATAAGGATTCAATATGTACACAAAAATTCACAAACGAGGTCGGAATCGGTATTCAGTCAAGTTCAAGTTCAAAGTGAAAGTAGTGTACTCAATGTACAGGCCGGCAGGGTCTTGCAGTATGTAAGTGACATGCATGTGTCATTTTATGAAGGGGTATAAATGAAAACTATTTTCATGGAACAGGATTACATGAATGAGGACATGTACATTCTTTGGAAGCAGTCAGTCAACTTATTCAAGTGTGTGTGAACATGCACACTAACATTTTTCATATTTTATTGATAGCATGATCGATACATGTATTAATTTTGTCTAATGTATTATTTGTCAGCATGGTCAGTAAAACATGCTTTTTAACTGTATTATTTATTTAACTAAACAATGTTGGGACTTAAATCAGTGCAAGATGAAGCAAATTCATAATTTATGATTATTTTCAAATAATGAACATAAATGGAATGTGGAACGTTTGTATGTGTGTAATGTCTGTCTGTGAATGTTTTAGGATGGATGTTTTGTGATACTGAAGAATAACATCGATTTTTTTAGGTTCATGGTGATACAGGAAAACTTCAAGGTTCCTGCAGATGGTGTTTAAAACTATTGGCCAGTGAACACAAACCCATTTAATTATATTTTGAATCTTCACCAGGAGAAAAAAGATGGCAGTACTTCTAATGCGTAAGTAGAATTTTTTTAAAAAGCTTCTTTTTTTTTGTTTTGGGGTGGGATGAATGATTAAACAAATACATCATGTACATAAGCGTTGAAATCCCTTTAATACAGGGTGTTTCAACAAACATGTCCTTCTTTTACTACTTCACATGAGTCCGTCAAAAAAGGAAAGATCAGTGTTTTGTAACGACTTATCTAAAAATAAACATTACAATGCAGTCTTTGCCAAATCTTTTTTTCAGTACATGCCCTTCGGGCAGGTTTAACCACTTATTACGCTAGCCCGAACAAATATTCACATGCCCAGAATTTTATCAAGTAATTTTATTCTTATTTGCCTTTTCATGGCAAGGAAATGATCCGATATCCATTTCTATCGATCTATTGTCTAGCCATTAATATTGTTTTCAACCTGTACACTTTTTGTGTTTCTTTTGCAAAAGAGTTCCCTGGAAATCGTGGTAGAATAAACTATCGTTAAAATTTTATTTGGTGCTCCACTTCAGATGAAAAATCAGACTTTTAAGTACATTTAATGTTATTGGTATTACTTTTAAATTTGATAATACGGAGGCTTAGGCCTCAGAATTCACATGCCCTTTGGGTTTGTAAGTATGCAATTTCCACATGCCCCCTTCCAATTTTACCAGGTCTCGGGCTTCGTACTCCCGGGATTTGTCGAAGACTGATTACAATGTACTTTTTATAGTTTTTTGAAAGTACATGAAGTGTTTTATTCCAAAGATTTTTAGCTCACCTGAGCCAAAGGCTCAAGTGAGCTTTTCTGATCAAAATTTGTCCGTTGTCTGTCGTTGTTGTTGTCGTTGTTGTTGGAAACTTTTCACATTTTCATCTTCTTCTCAAGAACCACTGGGCCAATTTCAACCAAACTTGGCACAAAGTATCCTTGGGTAAAGGGGATTCAAGTTTGTTCAAATGAAGGGCCACGCCTTCTTCCAAGGGGAGATAATTAAGAATTTGTGAAAAATTAATGGCATCATTAAAAAATCTTCTTCTCAAGAACCACTGTGCTTGAAAATATGAAACTTATGTGGAAGCATCCTCAGGTAGTGTAGATTCAAGTTTGTTCAAATCATGACCCCTGGGGGTCGGGTGGGGCCACAATGGGCGATCAAAGTTTTACATAGGAATATATAGGAATAATCTTTAAAAATCTTCTTCTCAAGAACAGCAAAGCCATGATTGGTCATATTTATATGGTAGCCTCCTCAGATAGTGTAGATTCAAGTTTGTTCAAATCATGACCCCCGGGGGTTGGGTGGGGCCACAATGGGCGATCAAAGTTTTACATAGGAATATATAGGAAAATTCTTTAAAAATCTTCTTCTCAAGAACAGCAAAGCCATGATTGGTCATATTTACATGGAAGCATCCTCAGGTAGTGTAGATTCAAGTTTGTTCAAATCAAGACCCCTGGGGGTCGGGTGAGGCCACAATTGGCGATCAAAGTTTTACATTGGAATATATAGGGAAAATCTTTAAAAATCTTCTTCTCAAGAACAGCAAAGCCATGATTGGTCATATTTACATGGAAGCATCCTCAGGTAGTGTAGATTCAAGTTTGTTCAAATCATGACCCCCGGGGGTTGGGTGGGGCCACAATGGGCGATCAAAGTTTTACATAGGAATACATAGGTTAAATCTTTAAAAATCTTCTACTCAAGAACAGCAAAGTCATGTTTGGTCATATTTAAATGGAAGCATCCTCAGATAATGTAGATTCAAATTTGTTCAATTCATGACCCCCCCCCCCCCCCCCCCCCCCCCGAACCACTTTTTTATTTAAACTTTTCAACCTTTCAAGACTGAACTGAATTCTGCTTTTTCCTAGCCATAGTGCTCAGGTGAGCGATGTGGCCCCTGGGCCTCTTGTTTAAAATCTCGTGATCATGCAGGAAGTATGAACATATTCCTGATCTCGTTCATTATACTCAAAACGTTTGACATCTTTATGTATCATACCCTGTACAAAATGTTCCACCTGGAAAAAGGCATAATCAAGACAGAATTCTCAGTAAAATTCCAGGCGTAAAACTTACTATAAATGTTAAAGCAATATAAGCAGAAACCAAGCGTTAACCAAGCAGAGACTAGCTGGAAATTTGAGGCGAAAAATATGTAATTAGTTCCGCCTGGAAATTGACATTCTGCCTGCATGGAAATTGAAATTCCACCTAGAATTGAAATAACAGGATTCCGCCTGAATATAGATTCCATTTAAACTGTCCAAAATATTTCTTTTTATAATTTCCAGCTATTTTCCCACTGAACTAAATTCAGCCTAGAATTTGATGACTGGAATCTGTTAAATTTAGGTGGAATCTCTGAGAGCCTGGAATTTGTGGATTCGGTGGAATACCCTTGGTGTCCAACAAAATTCTGGGCGGAATCCACCTTAATTGTTTGTACAGGACTAAATCATAATCACTAAAATGTTTAATTTCACATCAGTCAGTCGTAAAATTAAGTGCCAACTTGACTCAGAATTACCTTACTACCTGCTAAGATGCTAGAAAGCTAAAAATACATGCAGGGTTTTCTAGTAAATGTTGTTGAAAATCGTAATTTATTCATTTTGTTTTCCAGAAATTTTTATTGGTCTGTTGGGACTTACTAGCGACAGATTTTATTAGTCCAAATGAAAATGTATTAGTCTGATCAGACTAACGGACTAACATTAGTGTTGAACCCTGACATTAAAATATCTCAGGCATATATTTAGTCAGGCCATGCTTACACTGTATAAAACATGATGCTGGAAAGTTGAATTGAAAATTTAAGTCTCCTTTATCAGTCTCTAACAAAAACTTTTAACTAAATCAGTAGAATTAATTTAAATTCATAGTCTTTCCGAAATGTTTAGACTTTATATTTTGCAATAATTACTTAAGTGTTCATTATTGATATCCCTTATCTTAATTCCTGAAACTGACAAATCACAGTAGCCTAGACGGTAGTTGTTGTCGGTACTCGCATTATAATCAATAGGTCCCTGTTCAATTCTTGTTCCTAGCACCTTGTCAATCCAAGATGTTTGAAATAGGTAATGAGATTGTTCGATTACTAAGCTGTGACTCTATAAGTGAAAGATGCATGTGTTTTAAATGAAACCTTAAAAATCAAGGTCTCATTTCATGGTAGGCAAAATAAAAAAAAAACCCTCCAGTGTTAAGCTACTAGTATACATTGTAGTGAAACCAATAGGGCTGTGTATTGAGCAAAATATTTCGATACGATACGATATTTTATAAAGCGATATGCGATATATTGGATTATTTATTAAGTCTTTCAAAAATGTCTTATTGATGACATTTAATGCATAAATTTGATAAAAACTGGGTGAGTCTAACATAACATGTTAAAATATAGTTGTCTATGTATTTTGTAATAGTTATTTAAGATGTGCTCTCTCCTTAATGTTTATTTCATTATTGACCAGTTTTAATTGAAAACAGTTCAAAATAATCTTTGGTAACTGAAATTCCCAACTTTTTAGCTCTACTGGTCAGAGACCAGAAGAGCTTATGCGATAGTAAGGTGTCCGTCGTCCGTCTGTCTGTCTGTCTGTCTGTCTGTAAACAATTTTTCAAAACGCTACTCCTCCTACAGTTTTGGTCCGATTTCAATATAACTTGGCACACAAGTAGACTACACTAAGATACATAATTTAGTGCATCGGTTTTTGATTTCAATGAACGGTGTTGCCATGGTTACTTAAAATAGAAATTTCTGTGAAATTCCTTTAAAACACTACTCCTCCTACAGTTTTGGTCCGATTTCAATATAACTTGGCACACAAGTAGACTACACTAAGATACATAATTTAGTGCATCGGTTTTTGATTTCGATGGACGGTGTTGTCATGGTTACTAAAAATAGAAATTTCTGTGAAATTCCTTTAAAACACTACTCCTCCTACAGTTTTGGTCCGATTTCAATATAACTTGGCACACAAGTAGACTACACTAAGATACATAATTTAGTGCATCGGTTTTTGATTTCGATGGACGGTGTTGCCATGGTTACTAAAAATAGAAATTTCTGTGAAATTTCTTTAAAACGCTACTCCTCCTACAGTTTTGGTCCGAATTCAATATAACTTGGCACACAAGTAGACTACACTAAGATACATAATTTAGTGCATCGGTTTTTGATTTCGATGGACGGTGTTGCCATGGTTACTAAAAATAGAAATTTCTGTGAAATTCCTTTAAAACTCTACTCCTATAGTTTTGGTCCGATTTCAATATAACTTGGCACACAAGTAGACTACACTAAGATACATAATTTAGTGCATCGGTTTTTGATTTCGATGGACGGTGTTGCCATGGTTACTAAAAATAGAAATTTCTGTGAAATTTCTTTAAAACGCTACTCCTCCTACAGTTTTGGTCCGATTTCAATATAACTTGGCACACAAGTAGACTACACTAAGATACATAATTTAGTGCATCGGTTTTTGATTTCGATGGACGGTGTTGCCATGGTTACTAAAAATAGAAATTTCTGTGAAATTCCTTTAAAACGCTACTCCTCCTACAGTTTTGGTCTGATTTCAATATAACTTGGCACACAAGTAGACTACACTAAGATACATAATTTAGTACATCGGTTTTTTGATTTCGATGGACGGTGTTCCCATGGTTACTAAAAATAGAAATTTCTGTGAAATTTCTTTAAAACCCCAGTCCTCCTACAGTTTTGGTCTGATTTCAATATAACTTGGCACACAAGTAGACTACACTAAGATACATAATTTAGTGCATTTTTTTGAATTCGATGAACAGTGTTGCCATGGTTACTTAAAATAGAAATGTCTGTGAAATTCCTTTAAAACGTTACTCCTCCTACAATTTTGGTCTGATTTCAATATAATTTGGCACACAGTTAGAATACACTACGATACATAATATGTATTTCTGTTTTTTTTTATTTGGGTGAATGGTGTTGTCATGGTTACCGGTACTAAAAATAGAAATTTCCGTGAAATACTTTCAAAACGCTACTACTCCTAGTTTTCATTTGATTTCAATAACTTGTCACAAAAGTAGACTACATTAAGATACATAATTCTATTTATTGTTGCATGTTGCAATGTTTCAAATCCAAGTGCTACTTTTCTTTTGTTATACAAACAGACCAGTAGAGCTACAGTCTCATCAGAGACTTCTGGTTTACAGAATTATAAGGAAAACTGCCTGTCCGATACGTATTGGAAGTTATTTTTTCGATATGATACATTCCAGAATATCGATACGTATTGAATATTCGATATATTGACACAGCCCTAGAAACCAAATATCGAAATTTTATGATATGGTGTCATATGTTTTTTTTTTTTCAACCACAAATTAAATCCCCTCAAATCATGAAAATTTAAACCAGTGAAAATAACCAATTTTGCATTAATTGAGAAACTTGCATGTATTTGAAAGCTTCCTGAAATACCAGTAGTGTAGATTCAAGTTTGTTCAATTCATGGACCCTAGGGTTAGGGTAGGGCCACAGAAGAGGATCAAAGTTTACATGGAATGACAGAAACATGATTTAAATTAGTCATATTTATTATATCCATGTCCTTAACAAATTTCTGTTGCACTTTTCTCAGCAACTACTCATCGAAGGTGCTTAATATTTTAGCACGCTCTCTGTTTAGGCATGCCATATGGTAGGATGTATTTTTGTAGGAATCCCATGTTAACTTCCTGTTTATCCCTCCATCTGTCCATACTAAATTTCCATCACAGTTTTCTCAACAACTGTTAAGGATGATGCTTGAAAGTTTAGCACACTTTTAAATTGTTTAGGCATGCCATATGGTGGGATTCATTTTTGTATGAATTTGACGTCAACTTCCTGTTTACCCCTGTGCTTGTCCGTACCAAATTCAAATTAGTGCGGGAATTATAATTACTAGTGAGCATTGGCTCGATCACAGACTTCTTGTTTTCTATTTGATAGGAATGTCTTTTACTTTAATTAGCTAAAATACTTATTTAGTTATTCACAAATATTCTAAGAATGTTCTTTTTTTATAATATGTGTAACCATTACTGTTTCTTGAGTCAAGATTTTTTTAATTTATTTTATTGGTATTTATTTCTACTAGAAGCAGCTACTAGGGAAGATTTAATGAAGGAAGATGAGGAAGTGGAGAAAAAGCTAAAGAACAAGGAAGACAAGGTGAAGAAAGGACAAGGTTATTACATTATGTATCTCACAGTATTTTTAAAAAGCCCTCTCAAATCCTGATTTATATAGTTTTTTTGTAAAACTTAAGAATGAAATCTTATTTAGTTCTTGATCCTTAAATATAAATGAAGAAGGTAACAATTTTTACAGGGCACAGTGACTTGCAGTGTGTGTCATGTAACATTATTACAACATCTTTATCATGGGTCCATAATTTTGAGTAAGTCATTCATCAACCACTTTATCTGTACTGGAAACCATTTCTGAGAGGGATGAAGTGATGGAAGATAATGAGCCAGAGGGTGGAATGGAAGAGAAAGGGAAAGAAATAAAGAAAAAGGCAGAATGAAAAAGGACTAGGTAATTATTATCACAATACCCCCCCCCCCTTCCCCATCAATGTATTTCTTCAAGTCAACAAAATTAGCGTGTACTTATCTTATTCTTTCATAAATATTTTGAGAAAAAATATCAAAACATCAACTTTGACTGGATGTAGTGACTTGCATGTGTGTAATTAGCTATGGTCGATACAATGACCTTGTCAGCAAAAACAATCTTTCATTACATGTAAGTCGAATGCGGACTGATGTTTTTAATACTAATTGTTTGGCCATTATTTACACATTGAATTGTCTGTTTACACATTGAATTGTCTACAGACTTTTCCGTTTTCCCGATCATGACAAGGAGCACACATCAAATGTGAATGATTGGCAGAGGATGTTTACTCCTATATTGCACCTGATCCCACCTCTGATGTTTTTAGTGGTCCGTGTTTGCTCCTGATTTGTATTTTTTCTATGGACTCTTGAGCTTCGTTATCTCCATAATTATATGATTGTACAGTGAAAACTGTCTAATCTGACACCTGTGCAATCCGTCACACTGTAAATTCCAACGTTAAATTTCATTCCCATTTTACTTTTTTCTATGTTTTTTTACACTGATCAATACGACGCCCTATCTATTCCGACAAAAAATTTGTCTCCCAGTGCATGTCGGATTACACAGGTTTCACTGTATGATTAAGTGGTATTTGAGTACTTTTTACTGGAACCCAGGAACATCTTTATTTTTTTTTACTTTGTGTCATCTAGTTTTAGATAATGAGATTGGACTGTATATAGGTAATTCATCATGAAAAATGTTACATGTTACATGACTATGCCCTGACTTTACCTTAGGCTGAAAATGTCGATCAAGACACATTTCTAGTCTTCTTTGCAAGTACTTGTAAATCTGTTCAGTCATGTTTTTTTTTCTTTTGTGTGAATCAAGCTGCACACTTTGAAACTTTGAATCATAACCTTGTTAATTGATGCCTGTTATAGGGGAAACGTTTTTTCTTGACCAGGCTTTAATAGCAGCGAGAAATATAGGTGAATTTGAGGTCATGGAAATATTTTAGGTAATAACAAAAGTATGTATTTCACATTCTAGTACCAAAACGTTTCTGTCGAAGTCAAGCAGGTACATGAAAACGAATAAGTTACTAACCACTCTTTTCTCAGATAAATCACTAAAAAGGTTCAGTATGCCAAGATTTTTCATGAATCTGGTAAAATCCGAAACTTGACAAATTGAGTTTTTGTCAGTTTAGTAGTTTATCGAATTGGATTTTTTTTTACAGAACTTGCAATAGAAGAAAAAGTTGAGGAAATTAAGAGGAAGAAATTGAAGATGAAAAGAAGAGCTCTGGGAGGAAAAAAGTGAGCATAGTGCAGTTATTTCTATCATTTTACATTTTATTGCTGCATTATCAGATGCCGTCTGAATCATAAACCTTATCTACTGATAAAGATAATGGGCAAACAAGGCAAGTAAATGCCTATTGTGTGACAAAAAAGATGTAAAAAGTTAAATCTTAATCATGTCAAAATTTTCTTTGATACTTCATGTAACATTATTGTATACCTTATGTAAAATCTTTGCAATTTGCTACAATCTTATAAAGATTAATATTATTGATCTGTGAAATAGCAGATACACACCAAAAGAGGGCAAAAATGGTCATTTTTTCCTCCTATATCATAATTTTTAAATATGAGTAGGTCTTCACTCCATATTTTGGTAAGATTATACTCGAAGCATATTTAAAACTTTTCTTATTTCGTTCGACAAAAACATGGTGAAATGACCAACTCTTCTAAAAATAGACTTTTATGTCACAACTAGTGATGGGAATTGGTAAGAATTTCATAATCGATGATCAGGCTACTGTAACTAACTAATTATCAATTATAATCGGACATTTACAAAGTCTGTCAATTTTAGTTTATTAAATGGTAAGAATGGTTGAATAACTACTTTCTGTGGTGGTCCAGCTGTAGTTGGAATAACTGTGTCTCGGAACAACCCCTAGTCCTTAGGACAATATCATTTTAACGACAGAATGTTCTATCTAGTCAAGCTGGTTCTACGCTCATTTTGTAGAATCCAAAGTACGTCCATACCCAGGAATGAGCGTTGTTACCCGGGTATGAATACAATGTCTCTTTGTCTGTGCCATTACGATATGCATATAAGTTAATAGAAAAGTTGCGGCTGGAATATTTGGCTTAAAAACTATTACGCTTTTAAAATAAAATAAATAACCCGATTAATCAGAATAAAAAATTTGTAATCAAGTGCTTGGATTATGCCAGCAATCGACTGATTTTCGATTATAATTGATGATTGGAACACCACTAGTCACAACAACATTCATATCATGGTTTGACATTAACTTTTATGAGTACTAGATCAGTCGTGCTACTTCCCATAATTGTTACTAGCTCTGACCATAAATTCACTAGCCCTGACCAAACTTGAAAATTTTCTATTTATAACCTCCTATTATAATGGGAAAAAAGTTTTGAAACCATACTACAGTGTATCTCTCGCATGTGTTCATGTATACATTTTGACAGACTGTTGAGCCCATAGGTAGCAGCCCAATGAGTGAACATGCGAATGTTATAAGCTTTAAAGAACATTAATTCAAGGAACTTAAATAAAATTATTACTGTAAATATACATGTAAATAAATTAAAAACTATAATATTCAATGAATATTTATACCAAATGATACTGAACAAAGCTGAGGTTTCGATTGTGACTTGTCTATTACAGCCGGTCTAAAAAAAATAGCAATTGTGTCATGCAGGAAAGTTTTCTTTTTCAGAGCAATGGCTGTGTTTGCAATCTGAAAATTAAGAAAATTTCTTTAAAAAGTTTTTAGTCAGAGCATTTATTTGAAAGACTGAAATGAGAGTTAACATTTATTTCATCCACACAACCAGTCGGGCAAGTTATTGAACATTTAACATGACGGACCATGCATTTACTAGACTGGGTCAGTCGGACGTGCCTTAGTGTCAAACCCTGCATATCTTTCAGAAATATATTTGAAATCCATTTAGTCAAGAGCCACATTTTTAAACGTGATTTACATATGTAAATGCCCATTTTTGTCATGAGCTACATGTATGTAGTTTAGTGGTTAGCATGTTAGTCTCTTAGAAAAAAAACTGATATTCAGGATTTAATTTCATTGCTTGGGTTTCAACCCCTAGAATACCACTTTTTTTTTTATCATATGATTTTTGCTTTAAGAATTTTCTACAGAAAAGTTTTGTTTGTATTATAATGTTAAACCTTTCAATAAGAAGAACTTTACTCTAAATACTAAACTCAGTATTTGAATATGACTTTTATACATTTGAAGCTATAGGCTTTTTGCATGCCTTGTTCACCCATCTCCTTATGCACATTATGAAACATGTAAAACTAATTATTACATATTACTGTTACTTGGTAGACTCTTAGTGTAATTAAAATTATATCTTTCATTTTACTCCATTTATTAATATATGTTACTAATGAGAGACAGATAAATATACAGGAAAAGCTAAATGAATCTAATTTGTGTAGCTTGTTGAATGTTTTCATTTATAATATTCTTATAAGTGACTTGCTTGGATACATGTTTTCATTTTGAAAAAATCCTTATTTGTCTAGATGCATGTATTCTGTTGTGAGTACTTATATAGTTCTAACTATAAAGATTCCAACCTTTTGATATGTAAATTATAGAACAAGATGAGATTAAAGTTTGGCACTTTAAACTGGAAAGCTTGATAGGAAACCAAAGGCAAGGACAAAAGAAAAGGATAACCCAAAATTTCAGAAAGTGTTTGTTAAGTTGTGAATATACTTTTCGCTGTGTATTCTTTTTAGTGCCTTTGTCGGAAAGCAATGTCCGCTAATTCAAGTACAACGCTAAATGTCTTGCACAAATACACATAAAGAAGAACATTAACAAATGCTCTAAATCAAATCTCCGCTAACTTGCTCAATAATCAACTTCTGCCAAATATCGTACACGCTAAATATTATACATTTACAGTAATTCAAAAGGCTAACAAGTTCTAAAGGATAATCATTTAATACAAATCAAATACACAAAATGTTAACTAGCTGTTTTAGGAATTTTAATTTTAAGATTTATTCTTGTCCTTTTGCTTTTAAAGAAGTGTTGTTGTGTCTTAATTAAGATTGGAAACTTGATCACTGATATATTTTTATTTCATTTTTATGTAAAAGCTTTAATGGTTCTATTATATAATTATGTATTTCAGTTCCATTTGTAAGATGTGTGGACAAAAGAAAAACAGCCATAGAGTGCCAATGTGGATTGGAATAAGTCAGTATGACTTAAACATGGTCAATTAAAGTGTTTGAATGCCCCTCCAGAAAGCAGAACAATCTTTGAATTTGCAGGAAAGAGTATAAAATTTGCTGTTAAAATATCATAACAGCTAGACAAAGATTAAATAACAACTACATGTACATCTAAAGAATTCTTTTGTCATAATAGTGATTCATGTGCTAGTACATGTGACAAGTGCTATAACGACCTAATATAAGTGTGTTTTAGGAGCATGTTGACTCTATTGTAAATGTATTGACTCCTTATATGACCTCATTT